CACCAGAGCCCCAGTGTTTTCCTCTCACCAGAGGCCTGGTGTTTTGTCTAAAAAGAAAGGACGTTTCTGAATGAGGGCTCTCACAGCAAAATATTGATTTGAAGCAGGTGCGTTCTGGAGACGTGCGTTTGCTTGCTTACCCCAGCTCCCACGTGTTTCCTAGACGCTTACCGACCTCAGCCATCTTGCTTCTGTCTCAGTATCCCGGGCAAGCAGAGGACCCGTCTACATACAGATCAGCCAGGCCTGGGAAGGGAAGATGAAGGAGCCGTGTTTCACCAGGGGGCGTGCGTCCTTCCCACCACAGGAAAGTGTATAGCTAAGACACCCGTGTGGTTTAGGTCCTCAAGTACTGGTTTCTTAACACAGACAGAGGCATTTTTGTCCTCCCTTCAGGAGGTATCCCAGGGGCAGGTGTGGCCATATATGGTTCTGCCTTTTGGAAGCCAGCCCTCATCTCCCTAATATACAGAGGGAGTCGGAGGGAGGGGGCAGAGAGCTGGTAAGCAGCAGCTAAGAAGGGGGGGGTGAGGGGAAGACAAGAAGACACAGACAGGCAAAAGAAGAAAAGAGCAGACTGTCTTTCCCCAGCCCATGGCCTCGCCCAGGGCTTGGCTGAGTTTACCAGCGGCTCCCTCGCACTCTGCGGATGTAGATATACATTTCCCTTAGGACCAGTTGTCGGCAGAACGGTGAAAACACACCAGAACCCCTCATAAATCAGCAGAGGTCACTGCCAAGAGCTTTGTACACTTGCTGTCCCTGGCAGTGATAAACTCATTGCATTTGGGAAACGGCCAGAGACCCTGAGTCTGATCTTAATTCACATTCCCAGAAAAGTCTCAGCTCTGAGTTCACCCACCCCCTGTTTACTGTCTTTGTGTTTCCTAGACAAAGCTGGAAGGAACACATTTTCCTGACATCAAAGGCAACATTTCTTTGTTTGGAGGAGGAGGAGCAGGACAAGGGAGTCACCGAAACTCTAGGCTGTGGGAAAGCCAGGCTCAGGCCAGAGGGAAGCTGGCTCTATGGCCCCCATAGGGGGCCTAGGAGAGCTGCAGAATGTCAAAGCCTGCCTGTTCTTGTCGGACCTGAAGGCTAGGGATACTCCTCTCTCTCTCTCTCTCTCTCTCTCTCTCTCTCTCTCTCTCTCTCTCTCTCTCTCTCTCTCTCTCTATGTATGTGTGTGTGTTCACGTGCATGTGTGCACGTGTGTGTGCATGCGCATGTGCATGCGTGCCTGTGTGTATGTACCCATGTAAGGTGATTTGAAGCTTTATAATGCTAGTAAACAGTTATAAGGGGTAGTGGGGGCAAGACCACGGTACTCACCCTCCAGCAGTCTGTGCCCACTTGCCAACTTTCTCTCATACTATCCTTGCCTGGGTGTGTGACTTTGGAGTTGGCCGCTTAGGGATGGTAACAGCAGTGTCTACACTTTCCCCTGGGCCCACGCTGACACATGCCTTTGGAGAGTGAGACATTGCCTGCTGTTTGCCCTAGGTTATCCTGCCCTTTCTGTGGGAACATTCTGTGCCAGCCCCTTTCCCTCAGCTCCTATAGAGCTGAGACTCACTCTTGTCAGTGTCTGCTCAGACCTTCCTGCCTTGAAGAGGCATTTTCCAGTCACTGGACAACCTTTCCCCACCCAGGAAGGTTCACTCAGCCCCAGCTATACCTGAACTCCTTTGCACCCCTTAGCTCAAATGACTAAATGCATCCCGGGGGAAAGCCTTCTTGTCTAGAGATGCTAAGCTCTGTGACAACAAAATTCTCTTCGTCTTCTTCAGATTATAACCTCATGGCCAGACTTTGTCCCTGGCACCTACTAGATGCTCAATAAATATCTGGTGAATAAAGCTATGATTAAATGTTTAAACATGTCTTTTCCCGCCCTATTTCAGGTGACAAGGTCTATTTTGTTACCAATGAACCAATGTTTTTCCTAAGTGCACTGAGGTAAAAGGAATTAAGCAGATCTGAGTTGAAGTTTGTTGCTGAGGCCAGAAGGATCAGGCTAAGAAAGGCCTCTTTCTACCTTGCAGGGAAGCAGAGGACTGTGAAGCATATACTAGGCATTTAGATCCTGGGAGAAGCCAAAAGAAGCTGCAGAGAGGTGCTGTTTTAAAGAGAGATTTGGAGAGGGTCCAACTATTGGGACAGGCCTTTACAGATGACTCAGGAGCCACCTGTCTCTGTTGGCCACAGATGATGCCTGATAAAATAAATAATAAAAAGACAGTAAGTCATCTTTACTCAGAGTTAATGTTTGTACCTACGATATTAATGGTAGAGCAATTTAGAGACAGCAAATGAAAGCAAAGGCCAATGGCACCCCTGGGTCTAGGCTCTGGGGCTGAGAAGGAGGTTCGCGCTAAGCGGTTCACAGCCCTTTGTGGGGGATATGATCCTTACTCATACAGAGCAAGTGAGCAGATGCTTAGGCCAGGCATGAACTACGGCATGAACTATGGCAAGCACGCAGCCCGCGAATTTGAACATTAAACTCAAGCAAGCATTTTAGTGAACAAAGAGATCGTGCATCAGTGTGTTTTCTGTTTGTGTAACAAACTACTTGGGGGTGGGCATCTGGCAGAGTAGAGAACTGTATTTGGTTCAGTTTTGGAGTCTGAAATTCTAAGATGAGGCAACTGTATCTGTTGGGGCTCTGGTGAGGGCTTTCCAGCTGTCTCAACATGGCGGGGAGTGTGTGTAAGGAGAGAGCGCGTGATGAGAGAGGGAGTGAGAGGGAAACAGAAGCCAGCCTTCTTGCAGGCACCAGCTGGGTTCTGAGCCCTTGAGGGACATGTCTAAACTGTAGCCAAACCACCCACAGCACAGTGTAAATCCAACTAAACATTTGACCCTCTGACAGGCAGGACGCACCTCTAAAAGATGAAGACCATTCAGGGACTTAAACCGGGGAGGGAGGAGTTCTGGATATTTCTTCGAGTTTTTCAGAAAAACATTTCACAGTAAGGTTGTTAAATGAGAACACAGTCTCCAAAGCAGCCACTCTTTAATTCCCCTGCATCCCCTGCCCTTCCATTTCCATTGGTGAGGATGCCAGCCAACTTTTGTAAACATGGGGCATCATAGGAAGAGTGAAGCCAATCTTTGGGGTTCAACTGGGGACGGGCCACAGAGGTTCCTGGCGTAACCAACACATTTCGTGTGTCCCGTTTTCATTTTTGCTTGTTTTTCACTATTTCCAACTGACAAAGAGTCATCTGTTTTCATGACATAAACATCACGTTTTGACACATGTATACACTGAAAAATGCCTGAATCAAGTACTCCAACATGCACATGATTCCACATGCTTAGTTTATTATGACATTTTTAAATCAAAATTTCAAAACTGTCAGATGCTGTGATGAACTGTAGTCAACCAGGATGAACTATAGACACCCTGAGCTTTTCCCTCCTGTCTAAATGAAGTGTTTCCCCTGTGGCCCAGCATCCCCAGCCTCCCTTCCCTGTACCTGCCAGTCCCCAGGAGCCATCACTCCCTCTGCTTTGGTGAGTCTGCTGCCTTAGCTCCCACATGAAAGCAAAGTCAGGAAACATTTATTATTCTGTGCCCGGTTTATTTCGGTTCATTTCACCTAGGTTCATCTACATCGTGGTAGATGACAGCTTTCCTTCTCAAGGCCGGAGACTATCTGTGTCTCTGTGTATGTGTGTGTGTGTGTATGTGTGTGTGTGTGTGTGTCCTCGCGTGTGCATTTAAAATAAGTATCTTACATTTCCTTTATCTGTACATAAACTGATAGGTACCTCCATTAATGCTGTGTCTTGGCTATGTGCCTTTTGTGCTGGGTAGGAAGGAACCTCTTGGCACAGCCTGACCATTGTTCCAGGATTCTCTAACCAGGCTACAAAAAAAAAATAAAAGGCAATTCCCCACCCTACCCAGGGCTGAAGAGGGCTCAGCAGTTGAGAGGACTGGATGCTTTTCTAGAGAACCCAGGTTTGACTCCCAATACCCATAAGGCTGCTCAACTGTCGGTTCTTGAGAATCTGACGCCCTCTTCTGACCTCTGCAGGCACTGCATACCCATGGAACACAGACACACATGCAGGCAACACACCAATACATATAAAAATTAAATTAAACTGAAGAAAAAATGTGTCCCCCTCGAGCTCTTATCCACTGGGCCATCTCCTCAGACTCTCTCGGTTGCTTTTTGAAGCTGTACTTCTTATTTAGAGACACTTGTAGACTACCAGAAGGTTGTTAAAGAATACAGAGATGGGCTGTTTATTCAACTCTGCAATGGCAGCATCTTGCAAAACTATAGTAGAGTATTGCACTTACTGTAATGGTGGCGCAGCCATCCACTGATTTTATTCAGGCTTACCAATTGCATGTGTGCTCGTGTGTGTGTGTGTGTGTGTGTGTGTGTGTGTGTGTGTGTGTGTGTCACTCTTCACAGCTACATCACCTGTGTCAAGATACAGAACCACCCACCACCACAAAGATCCTTCCTGTTGCCGTGTACAAACACCTACTTCCCCATTCCTAACTCTGGCCACCACTAATCTGTTCTCTGTTTCTCCAATTTGTCCTTTTAAGAATGTTCTAGAAATGAAATCAGATGATATGATTGAGGACCAATTTTTCACCCACCTAATTCCCTTGAGATCCTCCCCCGCCCCAGTTTTGGGATATATCGGTAGTTCATTTTCTCCAACTGTTACTACTGCAGCTTTAACCACTGCACACCCCAACATGACACCCAGCCCTGATCACACATCCTTTGAGACACGAACCTCAGTGGTCTCTTGCTCTGTAAGAGAAAATGCCATTTTTGTTTCTTTATTTCTTGACTCACATGTGACGTGGGAGAAGTAGGTCACCCTGCGAGTTGTCCTAGCTCCATTCGAGCATTCCCAGGTGCGTGTGGGCACCCATCTCCAGGTCAGGTGGATTGTCACTTCCTGTTAGCTCCAACTGACATTCTTTCTTGTGTCTCCCTACTCCTCTGCTTCCCCAGGAGCACATCTACAAACTGATGAAGAGTGACAGCTACGCCCGCTTCCTGCGCTCCAATGCCTACCAGGACCTGCTGCTGGCCAAGAAGAAGGTATCTTGGGAAGGGCAAGCTTGTCTTTCTTAGCATTGTTGACTCTCGCTGCTGCTTGCTGCTGGTGTGAACTGAGAATATCATACCTTGGGTTTTTATTTATTTTTCCTTTCTTCTCTCCCTTTTTCTGTCTGCTCCCCTCCAGTTGAGAACAGTGTAGGAAGGTTACTGTCCCAGCCTCCCCCAGTACCCAGAATATGGCGTTCTGCCTCTGTGTTCTCATTGCCTCTGTCTGCCTGTTTTGCCTACAGTGAGAGGAGGGGGACCAAATAATATTGCCATGGTGGCTCAGCCCCAGAATGTCAGGTTGGCAGTGACCCAAGCAAATCTCTTAGGATATCAGGGAGACCGTCACAGCCAAGTCCATTCAGCCATTCCCAACAGTCCTTCCCTGTTCCACCAGATTAGAAAGGGGGCATGAGAAGTGAGCATTGGGACATCCCCTTTCTGGGAAAGAAAGTCTCGTCAGCTTTAATGGATCCACCACACATCTGAGTAATCACTAAAATTGGGCGTGGATCCCCTCTTGCCATGTCCTTCCTCACCATTTCTCCAAAGTTTTTCCCAGTTATTTTAACCAGGAAGTCACCACATCCCAGCCACCTCATCCTCTTGCACTTGGAATTAAACCATAGCTCTTACAGCCCTTGGAGTCCTGGCTCACAGAGCCCCAAGACCCTCAGCAGGCGGGCAGTGAAGGTGCCTGGAACAGGGACAAGTTTAGCTGGATTTCTGGGGAAGGGATGTAAAATGATACCTGGGCTAGGAAAGCGGAAGGCAAGAGACAGGGCTCATGGGTCTGGTGAATCTGCCAACCTTCTGTGTACTTCAGCTCCAACCTGAAGCCCATGTGCAGTTAAGTGTGGCCCAACTTGTTCCAAATTCTACCACTTACACACACACACACACACACACACACACACACACACACACACACACGCACGCACGCACGCACGCACACGCACACGCACGCACACGCACACGCACCTCTCTTCTTCTGGTCTCTGAACCTGAGTCCCCAAACACATAGTTGTCCGCCCACAGGCTTCCTGTCAGGTTGCCTTTCAGTCTCACGCCGTCTCTGTGTGTTAGCAACTGCACTTCATGTTTGCCTGTCTGCCTATCTGGTTGGTGCCATGTTAACTTCAGAGTCCTAGAGGGCATTTACTTCCCCTTCTTGTTCCCACACAATCCCCAGAAGAATCCTAAGACTCTGAGGAAAACGAAAGGACTTGTGGAAGTTCTGTTGTCAAAAGCTCACTCTGTTGGTTCCCAAGCTTCTCCTTTGAGTATAGCTCCTGGGATGGGGAATGTGAAGCCTCATCTTTTGCCAACTCCCTTTTTGGAAGATGTTTTCTTATAGAGGGGAGATAAGGTTCCCACACACAAGTGACTCTGGTACCCACTTTTACAAGCACTGGAAGATCAAGGTCGTAGAGGCTTTGGGTGCTTATATCCCAGGTCTCACAAGAGAAAGTCAAGGGAAGAATTTCTTATTTCTTGAGGCTCACGTCCCCTAAACTGACCATAGTTTGGGGACATTTAAGGCCCTAGCAATTTCACCAATCTGTGCCTAGCTACATAAACATTTAGAGGAAAGATCAAAGGCTGTTTAGTCTCCCCATGGGTCTGGTGAGGGAAAGTGCACCTCAATCCAGGAAGTGGGATGAACTGGTTGAGTTTGTAGATCCTCCCAACACAGCAAAACCTTCAGGAGGCCAGTGGAGTGGGGCAGGAACTAACCCCTTCCTGGGAAAGGTTATACATGAAGTTCATTACAGTTATCCCCCAGCCCTCAAATTTAGGGACGTTCTTCCAGCAGAAAGCCAGGGTACCTGCCAATATCTTTTCGATATGGAGGAGTTATGTCCCCAGTTAGTGATACTTTCCCATCCATGTCTTCCTGAGACTCTCTAGGCACCAGATTTGTAACTCCGCACCTTTAGGAAGGCCCAGGTACTCATCCTGTGATAGTAACACTCAGGTTATAAAAGTGTATGTGAGATTCTGCCCTTCAGCCGCAGAGGGTAAGAACCAGCCTCCCAGCTAAGAGCCATCCCTGTGTCACCGATTCTTCCTCTTTTCTGCTATCCTCAGAGGAAAGGGTAGTTGCTCTGGAGAACCAGAGTCTAATGGTGAGTGAACTGGACTTTGATGGACAATGATGTAGCCATTATGACGGGATTCCACAGCAGCTCAAGGAAAGCCCAACTATGTGGCCAGGGGATAAGAATGACAGGTCCAGCTTCTGGACCTGGAATGGGCCTGACTTGACTCAGTGTCTGCCATCTGGTGTCTTTAGGACAAGAGCTGAGCTTTGCCATCTCCAGACTCTGGGTATGGGCCAGACATGGATCCCACAGATCTTGTCTGAGGAGAAAGCCCAGGCCAACTCTATGGTCTTGTGTCACTTGTCTTGTGTTTTCTTTCTGCAACTTCCAATCTGTCTTTCCGGAGCTTGGCTGAGTCAGCAGGGACCATGGGTGGATGCCGAGGACGGCTGCCTTTGCCTGATCCCTCTGCTTCCAGCACATTCCAGACCCATAGACACCTAGCTGCTTCTTCACTTCCCAAGTTGCAAGTATTTGCCCTGTGTGTCGGTATCCGTGTGTGGACATGTGTGTGTGCCTGGTGTGCATGCATGTGTGTGTGTGTGTGTGTGTGTGTGTGTGTGTGTGTACATGCACACAAGTGCATGCAAGTGTGCATCCATGCTACTGTGTGTGTCCTCTGAATTTGCCAACCTCAGGCTCAGGACCTGAAACACGATTCTAAGTCAAGCCAGCAGCAGGTATTTGAGATAGAATTCTGCTCTTTCCAGGTAGGAAATTTGGAGAAAGGGCCAGGCTAACACTGTACCTCTTTTCCTCCTGAGAGGCCTATAGCAGAACATTTCAGGCTTTTGCCTTCTCTTGCCTCTGCTTCTCAAACCTACACTATCAGTCCCCAAGGGAGGATTCTGAGCCTCCTGGAATGCATCCCGAGTCCAGCTTGGAAGTGTCACTACTTGGGAATTGAGAGGGTATTTTCAGCTCAGAACTTGGTTTATTTCCTGAGGCCTAAGCTCCCTCTGTCATAGCCTCTCCTTGCTCTCGGGACACAGAATATCATTAGGAAGTCATTGAAGTTAGCACATGTTTCTCTAGGCAGGAATAATCTTGAGAGATTGACCCATACTTGCAGATGAATCCAGGACTCCCCGGTGGCAGCTTCCAGTGTCCCATCAGCATCCCAGCACCGCCATACATTGACAGCCCTCATAGCTAGTCTGTTCTGTGCCACCACTTAGAGTACGGCTACCCAGGAGACTCCTGACCACAGCCACCCAAAGCCCCTGCTTCCGAGCACAACATAGAGTAACAAGCAACCATCTTGAATAGCAACCAGGGCCCTGCACAGAGCAAAGGTTCTGAGGCCTCCATCGCCCCTGGACCTTCAGAAAGCCCACTCCCTCCTCTCGCTCCCCTGGGCTCCAGAGAGGCAGTGAGTGTGTTTCTCCTGGGCTTCTGTTTTCCCACTGTCCATCAGCTCTGCCGACAGCTCTGGCCGCTTCTCTCTGCCCGTTTTGCCGCATTTGGCTTTTGTGTTTTGCTCTTTAGCTGTGGCTGCTGCTGTTTCGAAATCACATGTAAAGCTGAAGATTTTTTTCCCCTGTATTTTTCTCCCTACCCTTTTTTTTCTCCTCCCCCCAAAGCCAGAAAGTGAGCAAGGTCGTAGAACTTCCCTAGAAAAATTCACTCGCAGTGTGGTAAGTTCCGCTGGTTTTCTACCCTCCATGTTTCTTTTGCTTTTGGTTGGTTTTCAAATCTATTCTTGTCCTTTCTTTTTTTTTTTTTTTGGTTGTCATCTTCTTTGGGGTGGGAGGGAGTCCAGTGCTTCCCCCTCCCCTCCCCTCAGCCCTTTTCTTTTGCAAGTGTCTGCAGCTTCTCTTCCAGGGATGGAATTGCAAAAAGAGCAAGCCCCCCACCCCACCCCGCAGAAGGTTCACAGCTCAGGGCCCAACCTGAGCCCAGCCACAGATGGGGCCTGTGGTCTCTTTTTAAGTCTCTGAGGAAGAAGGGACCTTACTGCTCCTGGGGCTGGGGCTAGGCCATCTGTGCATCTTCTGCAGTGGCCTGGGGTGAAGGTCATGAACCAAACCATAAACCAAATTGGCTGAGAACCATCACTCACCTCAAAAGAAAAAAAAATCCAAATTTCCCTGTGAACCCTGACAGCGTGTTAATGTGAGTTGCGAACTGCTGTTGCTGCTGCGTAGACCGCTTTTGCTGCGTACAGAAAGCAACCGTGCTGCATGGGTTGTGGCGATGTGTTCTAGCTGGTGCGTGTGTGTGCTAGTGGCCTCTGCATGAGTGCCTACAGCCCTCCTGTAAGGTCCCTTGTCAGCCTCGATTTCATAGTGTGACCTAGAGAGGAAGACAGTGGCTGAGTCCCATAACTGTACCAAGCACTTGCCAGGGTCAAGGTTTTATCAATCTCCTCTGTCCGTGACTCTGACAATGAGTACAAATAGGGTACAGGGTCACTGTCCCTGCAGGGAAATGGCCTTTCCCCTTTTCACAGCAGCTTAGAGAGGCAGAGACTCATACTGTAACACAAAGGGAGGTGGGTAAGAGCAGAAACATCTCCCCTTTCCATGGTGATATCTTCTCCAAACCTAAGTCTTGATACAAACTGACTGGTCTGGGAAAAGCCTTTGAGTTCATGGGCCCCTGCCTGAAATATTAATATCACATGGGACTGGCCACCTTCCCCTTTCCCGAGTGGGGCCCACTGATGCTAACTTGCCTTGTTTCCCCACCTCTGTTGAAGAGCAAAGTCCTTGTGAAACATGACTACTGTATGATTAGTACCCTTTTAATCCTTCTTGAATAGTCTAAGAAGTCCTGGGTTGAAAGCCACCTAGCCATTTTCCTGTCATAGCTGGATGCACTTTAAGGACATTTAACCATGATTTTGAATTCACCAAATGTATACATCACAACACCTCAGGGAGATGGTAATTAAAAGATAGAAACTCCTCTTTCTGTCTTCATAGGTTCTCTTACCAGAGAAACCAGAAAATGAAGACTGTGAGACCTGTTGGCCCCTTGTCCTCACAGCTGGTTTGCTGTGTCATGTGGTAATGGAGGAGACATATGCGCTGTCAGAGACTAGGCCCATGGGACCTCTTCTGCCCCACAATAGCTTCATAGAAAGTGGGGGGGTCTTTCTGTGTTGAGCTGAGGCCTGGTTGCTGTAGATGGAGGAGGTTTACAGATTAGGTTGACAAATTAAAAGCAAGCTGTAGAGGCAACCAGGACTCCCAGGTACAAATTGAGAAAAAAGAGTTTCCTTTGTGTGAAAGCTGAGCTCTGACAGCACAGAGCGGGTGCTCTTCAGGTAGACCGTGAGGGCGAGGTATAAGAGAGGAAACTTGGTACTTGGACAAGATGTACAGACATCTTCAGATTGCTGTCCACGAGAAGTGGGTACCAGGATGGGCAAAGACAGGCTCAATGAAGCTCCACAAGGAGCATGTATTGATGTCCCTTCACCATCAGAAATGCTGCTGGCTAGGTGGCTCTCCAAGGACTGTTGATGAGCACAACAGGAGAGCGCCTGCCCCTCCTCACATCTGGCATGCCATGTGAATTTACAAAGAAGCACTGGGAGGCAGAAAAACATCCCAGGCTCTTGAGACTTACACATTTATGTGACAAAAGGCTCAAAGTTTTAAAAAATGATTCCCTGAGTTTCTTTCATGAAGGGAAGGCTTTACTAGGTGATACATTCAGACTTTCTGGTCCCAGGATAGCCACGGGCTGCTACTGACCCTTCCTTGTTCCTCTTGAACTATAAGTAACACCCCAACCCCACAGGCAGGGCTAAGTCTGGGAACATGGCTCATGGCAGTAGAGATATAGTCCTCTGATTGGGCTACTTAAACTCAGAGCCCAAGAGTTTGGGCTCAACCACCCAGTATTTTAATCAAACATAACCAACCAACAAATATGCCTGTTTTCTGAATACGATGTACAGAAAAGCTTGACTTCTCTAAAAGAAGACTTGCATTGTTCATAAAGATGATGATGAAGAGGAATAAGTAGATCTGCTTGTGTTTCCTCCTCTGCTTACCACTAACAAAGTGAAGGGCTGGTTTAGTAGCATTTCCATGTCACCGAAATCAGTAAGCAGACTACCCATATTTACCATCGACAGAGAACTTTTAGGGCAAAGCAAGGCAGTTCACTAATAAGGGCATGAGGCTGACTGCCATTTAGGATTAGTCAATGGACAGTGGATTTTATCCAAGTGGTTGGATAGCCTAGTCCGCTGGAGTCTTATCAAGACTGAATGTGGATCCAGATTTCTCCCCCAGAGCATGGCAATGTCCCTTCATTCCTTGATAGAGGAGGGACATCTACAGAGAGAAGTGGCCCACTCTCCCTGAGTCTAAGGGCATGCCATGATATGGAGGGACTGCCTGTCAAAGGCCAGAGACATCCACTCCTTAGGAGTAACTGAGCATTTCAAGGAGGCATCTAAGTCCACGCTCTTAGAGTGCAGAGGGGCCTGGCCATCCGAAGAAGCGGTGCTGGGAGGGCTTCTCTCTCCACTGGACGTTTCATTTCAAATCACTCAAGGCATTAATGTGCCAGGAAAATGTTGAGGGTATTATGCCAAGTATCATGTCATCTGGAAGACTGGAACCATAGAGCTTACCTAAAACCCTGCTTATCTGATGGCAAAGGTCAGATTCAGGACCAAAATGTGAATGAAAATCTATGATGGGCTTCAGTAACCCCCAAGGCACTTTGCTTTAGGATGGAGAGCAGGACTCAGTCCAGCAGGCCCAGCCCTATGTGTACCCCCCTGGCCATTCAAATCACAGGCTTTGTCTCAGCCTCCACCCTCAACTACCTGTATACAGTGAATAATAGTCCACACCACTGTACACAGTGGCCCTGTTCAAAGAGCTCTCGCTTCAGAGACGAATACAATACACAGTAGCTTCTCACGGGGCTTTCACACATGGGCTCAGGTCACAGGAACCTGTTTTAGAAAAGTCTAGAATCCAAGAGCTAGACACCAAAGGTGGAAGGTGCTGAGAGACCAAAGAAAGGGGCAGACAAGCCCAGGATTGCCCAGAATACAGTGTACCAGGGACTTGCTGACAGACACATGCGCTGAGTGAGTCGCAGGAAGATGAGAGTCCCACACTCTAAGGTAGGAGAAAGGGGCATGTAGGCAAGCCAGACAAAAATGGGTCTTGGCTAAGTAGAATGTACCAGAGCTTTTTCAAACACTCTTAATGTATCATATATCAACTGAGAATCAGTCCAAGTTTCAGTGACCAGTACAAAATGCTTGGTTGGCACTCTTTGTTTTACACTCTTAATTTTATTTTATTAATTGGGGGAATGTGAGTCTGGTGCCCATGGAGTCTGTATAAGTGGGTCAGACCCCTTGAACTCAGAGCCATAGACAGTTGTGATCCCCAGATATGAGTACGGGGGAGCTGAACTGAAGTCTTCTGCAGGAACGGTACACACCCTTCACTGCTGCTTGGCTAACTATCATCACAAACTTAGTTCATCGTGTGTCACATGGAACACAGCTGGCCAGGGTCCCCTAGCATGCGAGGTGGCAGTTATCGCCAAGATGTCAGCACCTGGGTCAATCATGAGGGCAAGGACCCCTTGTGAGCCAGAGTCCATCTTTCCCTAGTCTTCCGCACTAACCACTTCCTTTCTACAGTGGCTGTGACATTTGAAATCAGCGTTAGGAAACACCTAGTCATCTTTGTGGGCTGCATTTTCTGTCACCTTCTCTGGGGTCTTTCGTGGGAAGCCCATCACTCACCATGGGGGGGGAAGATATCTCCTAATAAGGACCACTTTCCACTGCTCAGGGCCCCCTAGCCTGCCAGCCTCTGCTGTCTTCTGGTTTTGTGGTTGAGATGACAGCATGTGGGGAGGGGGGCTGGCCTGATCTCTCTTTGATGTTGAGAGCTGACCATAGACCCACAGCAGGCTGATGCCTCTGCAGGGCAGGACTCTGGCAGAGCACCAGGGGCTTCTGGGGAAGCAGGGCGGCTGAGAGGAAGCACAGAGGCCCCAGCCAGAGAGCCGCAGCAATGTCATTTCCTCTTTTGGATGGCAGCTAAAGCCATCTGGTGTGAACTCTGAGCTCGGAGGAGACAAGTTCCCTGTCCCTTGTACATAGCACCAAGGAAGACCCCTCAGAGTACGATGGCATTTAAGTTGAGAGAAATGGCAGTCCCAGTCAGTGTAGCTGGTGGCCGCTCGCCTTTACCTTCCCCATTAAAGCCCCAGCTGCCCCTTAAGAGTAACATCAGCTCTAGTTAGACTGCAAAGTCAGAAAGTGGGAACCCAAGCAGGGCCAGGGGACCACAGAGAAGGGACGTGAGGAGTGGGTTTCTACCCACCCCTAGGGGAATGTGGAGGGTGGCTCTGCCAGGGCATTCCTTAGGCTCCAGCAGTGAGGCTGGAAACAGAGGGCTCCTTGGCACCTGACCAGTGGCAGCTCTGCTTTGAGCTTTTCATTCTTTCTGTCCTGCCTGCCAAGAAATGTGGGGTGGGGGTGGAGGAAGTCAGATGGAGATGAAGTCCAGGGAGCCAGCCAGCTGTCGTTCCCCTGTCCCCTCCCTCCTCAACAGAATGCTAGAGAGAACCTGTTGGATGCAGGACTCAGCGGCTCACAGGGCCACTCCACACAGCTCTGAGGGACGTGACTCCAGCCCCAGGCCAGAAGTAGAAGGCTGGGGCTTTCAGGGAGGGTTGGGGGAACAGGGTAGTTGACCCTGTGGCAGCATCTTCTTCTCCCAGGCCGCTTCCTTCTGCCTCAGCATTTCCTGAGGAATGGCTTGGTGGAACGAGTCTTCAAACTCTTAAGACTCAGCAGAGTCCTAGAAGGCCTGGACCTCAGTCAGCAGACCTTTTCAGGTCTCCAGCTAGAGACGACTTGCTGAAGCATCTCATACAGAATTGCCTTTGATGGCAAACAGTCCTCAGATTATTTTGAAACCATGATGTTCCAGACATTAGAGCCAGCCTCTCCCATCAGTCCAACCATAGAGATACTCTGGTTAGGAATGGCTGTCATAATATGCGGATGGGGACGTGTGAAGGTCTGCTTCCCAGAGCACCACCAATGTCTCCTGGGGCTCCTCTATGCAGAGGAGCTACTGTCTAGCTATGTGATCCCAAGCAAATAACTAGCCCTCTCTGAGACCTACTGACCCGTCCCCCAGCTTCCCTGGCTATCAGCTTGGACTAGTTAATTGCTAGCATTTCTGTCCAGCTGGGAATGTTCTGCAGGCGTGTGCCTCTCTCTACACTGGGATCTCTGAGCTATATGAATCGTTCTGAGAGTCAGAGAAGAGCTACTTGTTTGTCCCATCCGCTGCGTGATTCAGACGTGTCTGCCAGCCTTGGAGGTGGGGAGATAAATGGTGGGTAGAACGGAGCCACAAGTATTTACAAACCTCAGACAGGCAACCAGCAGGAGGACTGAAGTCACAGTGTCTTACAGGACAGGTCCTTCAACAACCCAGGGCTCACTCCTGCGTGGAGTAGCTGGAGAGCGGGCAGAGGTCACAGGGAGCAAGGAAGTGGTGCCATCTTGCCTTACCAGCTCAGCAGTCCCTCCTTTGGGTCAGGATACCCAGTGGCAAGGGGCGGGGCAGGGTGTCCAGGTCAGCTAGGCAGGACAGTGGCCCCCAGTGTTGCTGCTTCTGGACCTGGGTACCCTGTGCTGCAAGAATGAAGTGTGGCCATCTGGGACTCATCACTGAAGCCCCATTCTTCAATGGAGGAGCCTGGGCCTGTCATTTAAACAGTCTTAGAGATGAATAAGGGGGGTCTGGGAGACAATGACAGTCAGTGGTAGGTGAAGTCTCCTCTAGTCTAGGTCCTCTCTATTTTGGCCCATGGGAAGTGTGGTAAAGCAAAGAGTTTGTAGCTTTAAAAATGAAAGTGTAGAAGTCTGTTTTTCATAGGTTATAAAAGCAACTGAACCAGCCCAGCTGCTGGAATGCTGGGAAGACACCCTGATGAACTGATTGCCTGGTCTGGGAACAGGGAGGAGTTTGCTTTGTTTTATCTTTGTACAGAGTTTCATTGTCATTTGTCATTGATGTCCCTAGACCCTGATGCCAGAACCCCAGTTGTTATAACTAATGAGTCAGTGTGACAGCTGAAGGCACCCCCAAAGAGCCTTGGTCACCCAGTACCAGTTCAGAGAAGCCCCGTGTGGGTTGTTCAGCACAGGGACACTGGCATGAGCAAGTCTCTGGTATGGTTACTCCCCGCCAACCCCCACACCACCGTTCCTGCCTTCCTCAGACCCCAGTGTGCCATGCAGTCAACTGACAATCCCAGTCCTCCAAGGCAGAAGGGCTCAGCTGTGTGTTTACGGCAGCTGATTTTGATCCAGATCTCCCTGCCAGTCTCCCAGCGAGGCAGGCTAGGGGCAGACTCTTGTGTGTGTGCCAGGCAGGATCTATTTTGGGAGGTGACCTGAGCCCTTTGTCATCTTATTGCCTTCTGGCCACCCCCACTTAGGAAAGCCATCCTGCTGGAAGGTGATCTCACTTTAGCAGTGGCTGGTGGGGCTGTGGGACTTCAGCCTGTTCCTTGTCACTGTGCAGCCAGACCCTGGCATCTGTCCCTGTGCACCCACATGGGGACCTCGTGGGCTCCCATCTGTCCAGTGAGAAGACTGAGGGTAAAGGTGAGCCAGACCCTGCAAGGCAGAAGGCAGGCCACTCAAGAGACTGTACAGTCCCCGTTAGAGAACAGATCTGCCCCATCCTGCCATCAAGACAGAGTAGAGAGAGCCACTTCCAGGTATTACTAGGATTACAGGTCCTGGGAAGAGAACAAAGCTACCTACACCAAGGTCAAGGAGACTCAGCCCTACCTACTGTCCATACTGGAGAATTGCAAGAGAAGTAGGGGAACCTAAGATTAGAGGACTGATAGGCTAAGTAGTAGGATGCTCAGCCCCACCCCCCACCCCTCCCACCCAAATGAGCTGCTGTGAAGGTGGTAGGTACTTCCCTTTGCTAAAGCAGCTAGTGAATTTCTTGGTTTGCATTGTAGTTAAGAAAGCACTGTGTCCTAGAAGGAGGACACACCTACGGCATACACATCGTAGGAAAAGACTGCAGGATGTTGCTCGGAAGTAAATGGCCTCCTGGGGCACTGCAAGCTTAGCATGGGGACTTTAGGTGCTGAGGTGTCTTTCATAGAGCCAAGGAGAGAAAGGTAACTGCAAGGCAGCTCCCTATTGGGTGAGAAAATGAGACAGGGCCAGACGGCAGTGGGTCTTCCACATTCCCTCTTCAGGTCCAAGTTCTTGTGGCCCTCCCAACAACAGCACAGTCTCAAACAGGAGTAGGCCTCATTGACCTAACATTTGGCAGCACACTCTCCTTTTCCTGGCTGACCCTAATAGTGGCATCCCTACTGGGGGGGGGGGGATGGTTTAAAAGAGCAAAAACCCAAAGATTAAAACTAAAGTGTACTCCTGCCCACCTCCTTAGCCCCCTGAGGTTGTCATTTCTAGTTGGAGGCTGTGATAACAGAAATGGAAATGGTCAAAGGCCAGAGGAATGTTCCCCGCCTTGTGGAGTGCTCCCTGTCTTGTGGAATGCTCCCGGCCTTGTACTGCTCTGGGTATCTTGATGCTAACCCTCTGTATCTCATCCAGGGTTTTGGAATCCACAAGAAATTCAGAAGATAAAGGGGCTGTGATGGTCATGACAAGGGAGACAGGAGTAGTCTGGCCTCAAGCAAACCTAATGATTATCTTTGTTTCCCAGAATAAACAGCCCATCTAGATTGTCCCGATGGGTAAAGTAGAACAGGTGGATAGGAGACATGGGGAGGTCTACAGCGCTGGAGAACATTCTGACAGCATTTAGAAACTCAATGGTCAAGAACATTGCAGAAGAACTTTCTGTAGTCAATTCCATAATGTCTTCCAAGCTGGAATTCTGGGCTGTGCTAAATATTTCTTAAGGGATCTTGCCATGTTTAATTCAGTGGTCTACAAGTTGTGGGAAAGGTGAGTGGGTTATAAGGGGGAGTTTGCTGAGATTGGAGGAGAGGGATCCTTGGAGAAATAACAAGTAAACAATGCCACACAGAAAGCAAGGGAAACTCAAGAAGCATAATTTGTGCCTTCCACACATCATCCATGCCTCTCCCCTTCCCTGACCTTGGCCATTTGCTGCTGCTGCTGCTGCAGCTGAGCCCTGGGCAACAGGGCTGTCTTCTCTGCATGCCTGAAAGGAGGTCAATCAGCGAAGGACACAGGCACTCGTTGGTACAGGGGGCTGGACACAGAACATCCTGGCCCTGGGTTGGAAAAAGCATGGCTTGTCACAGTTCCCACCAGGAGCGGCATTTTGTTGAAAACAGAAAAGACCATTTGTCTTTTATTCAACAATGCTATAGATTCTAAGCAAAGAAGCTGACACCAGGAACCTAGCATGCCCCAGGGGCTTCAGACCAGAAGGAGACTGCCCTCCCTGCACACCCCTCCTCCAGGGTCCTGCCTAAGGAACCTGTCTTAGACCAGGCTCTGGGGAAGGGAAGGAAGGACTTTCATGTCACATTCTTCTCAGCTGTCCTAAGAACCAACCCAGTTGCAGATGACACTCCCTCCTCTCTCAGGCTTCACCGGGGGCTGCTTTCAGCTCATCCTGGGATTGTGTAATTATGGTGATTACAGCTCATGGCTTTTTCCCTCTCTTCATCTTTTGCTTTCAAATTCGTTGAGGCCTCTCATTAAACATGGCGATCCTGGTAAAGTCAGCAAAGTTTTAACAAGACTTTTTTTTTAACTCGGAAGAAAGCTCAGGCAGGGTTGGTGGTGGTTGTATTCTCAGACATTCCTTTAAATCCCTGTCAGGAAGAGCAGGGCCTTGACCTAGGAGGTATGGAGCAGGGAGATTCAGGGATCCAGGGGCACCTGGCCTCATCCACACACCTCTGACCTACATCTCTTCTGCAAAAGTAGGCTCGTAGACCCTTCATGCCTTCTTGAACCCACAGACTATCCAGCAATAACCAAAAACACAGCCCTGTAGTCTGTAGCAAAGGTAGCATGCAGAATTTGTTCTGGGCGATAGATACTGTGTGGTTCCAGAGCATCCACAAAGAATATGTAGAGGAGGCAACCTTTATCCTGTGTGGGTGATCATGACCAGACATCATATACTCGATAGAGGTTTCCTTGGTAATGATACAGGGCTTCAGACCCCATCATTTGCTAGTCCTCAATCATAGCTTTCTTGACTAATTCCTAGGTCTGCAGAACATCATAAGAAAGACCACCAAGGAGTATGGGTTGGGTGGTAGCCACCAGGGCCCCTGACCTGCCTTTCCATAGCTTCTTCCAGGTTTGGTGTCAGGTTCCTAGGATGACCATGTTCTCCAGAAAATACAAGGACAGCCTGGTGAGGTGTGTGTCTTGCCATGAGTGGCCCCTGGCTGGGTCCGCTCACCTGGCTTCTTGGAACCTTTCACCCTGCTCCTGTCCCTAGCCAGTTACCTCTGCTTGTGTCCCTAACTAGAGGATAGAGCTGGGTTGTGACTAAGCTGCACTAACTACCTAGGATTGAATGTCAAAAGCTTGGCCACATGTCCCTGCCTGAATTCTCATCCCTGTCACAGGTGGCCTGCTTGTTTCTTCCCCCTGAGAGCCGTGTCACTTTAGGACTCACAGGAATTCAGAACAGGAAATGAGTCAGAATCAGGCAGCCAAAATGACTCCCCACTCCCCTGCTCTACCTGATACTCATGTAGGAGCCTGGAAGAGTCACTCATGGACCTGAGGGGTATAACAAACCCTGCCTTCCAGAGCAGAGGTCAGCACTAAATGAGAAGATGATAGTGACAGCTGTCATTTCCCAGAAACTCATGGTGTTAAACACATCATGCTGGGCATAGCTCGAGATGGACATTGTCTCCCCTCCAACTCTATCCCTGAATTAGATGACCATGACAAGATACCCTAAGCCTCAGTTTCTCCCTCTATAAAAGAGATAGAATAGTAAGTGATGAAGTATAAATTTTACATAGAGTATACTGTTTGCAGCCTACGTATTTGACAACTATTTAGTATTATTTATCATAAAATGCATCCTTAGTTCTCTGCTTACCACCTTATGTCATTTACAACAGGGTTCTGTGAGGTAGACTGATTTTATAGTTGAGAGATGTAAGTGGCATTATGTGCAACGTGCATTTACTGCAATGCTGGCATGATAACAGCTCAGTGAGTGGTAGCCATTATTACTGGCCTACTTTAAACTTAACTCAGTCCATCTGCTTTCCTAGGGATGGAGAGGGACTACAGTGCCCGAGGGGCCAGCCTCTGGCACATGACCTATTTCTTGTGGCTCTTAAGGACTTCCCAGGAAGCCTTAAGTCTCATCAACCCAACAGATGGGAAGGGCCATCCATGGTTACACTGATGCTGCGTTGCCAAGACCTAGCCTCAGGACTCCCACAGAGGCCCAGGACTTTAAGAGAATGCCTTTCTCCAGACACATACCAGGAAGAATGGCTTTGACCACAAAAAGCCTGTAAAATCCAGTTCTCCTATCATAGCTCTCACAGCAACATTTCCAGGGCAACTCACCTCTCAGCTGTTTGTTTGCCTGGACCCACCCTGAGCTATACAACCTCACACCAAGGCCAGTTGCTCCATCTGCCAGATAAACAGAGGTTTCTATTTTTTAAGCACTTATTATACAGCAAGGCTGTTGGAAGGCTCAGAAACAAGTGCAGGGAATGTTCTACAACATCTCCATAAACCAGGTGCCTGGGGTGCAGGCTCCTTCTGCTTGTAGCATTGGTAGAAACAAGGGGTGACACAGATGGATTTTCCTGAGAATTTGGTTTTTTTGTTTGGTTTTGTTTTATATGTGTCTAAAGGCAAAGGTTTCAAATTTGCAGTGTTGTCAAAGGTTGGCACAGTCTGGAGCTGATATAAAATCTCTACCCAATAAACCTCATAGCTGCTTATGTATCTTGCATGAGATGCTTATGTGAAACGCCTGCTCTGTGGACATGCACACGTGTGTACATTGCTGTGTATACATGTGAACAGGAGTGCACACAGGTGCATGTACTGCCTACTTGATACACACCTAGGTGTTCAGTGTATGGTTCATGTGCAACCATATGCTGCAGGCCTGCATGTGCCTTATGCATGGACTGCATGTCTGTCGTGGCTGTATGCGCATCTGGGCATGGGCTCCTCTAAAGCCACAGGTCTTCATGGTTTCAGCTGGATGAGTTATTCTTCCCTTCCCTTCCCCCAAACACAATTGCCTAGTGCTGCTGGCGCAGAGTCAGAATGGCTGCCGCGTTTCACCCCCGAGGTGGCTTCCTTCCAGCAGTGGGTGAGTGATCCCAGTGTCTGTACACTCTCTAACCTTGGGGATCCTTCTGCATAGACAGTGTTCCACAGTCCAGCGGAGAGAATCTGTCTGTCTGTGGCCTTGGCTCTGCTCATAGCTCCTGTCCCATGCATTGGCCCCATAGACAGTCAGTGGCACCCATTTCTTGGTATCCCTGTTTTTGACACCCATAGTTTTTTCCTTCCTGAGAAACAAGGGGTTGAGTATTCCAGAGATGATACCAACGTGAGTCCTTTGTCCTGGAGGCAATGCATAAATACCATCCTAGGTAGGGATCCTACAGTTCAAGTCTCTGGGTAACGACTCCCTAATAACTTCCTGGGTGTTTTCAAATCCAATTGCAGTCACCTGGGGTTTCCTCTTCTAAATAAGGTTTTCAGACCCTCCCTTTGCAATCCTGGGACTGTATCTTCAGGAAAGCCCAAACCCCCATACTCCTACATGAGAAAAGAGTCTGTAGGGAAAGAGAAGTGGGAAGGTTCTCTGAAGCTAGGGATTTCAATGGCCCAAGGTCCTATCCAGACAACACTTGAGAGTGCTGCTTAGCCTGTCCCTTGCCCAG